GACCGCCGAGAGGCCTCTGGATCTGGCCTTGGTCCTCTTTGCTGGTCAGCCCGGATCTAACCAAGCCCCTCCACTTAAGCAGGTTTAAGAGGTTTGCAAAGACCCCTTTCCCTCTTGGCCTGACCTCTCCTCGGGCGTTTGGCTTAAGCCGTTCGGCTTCTTGCCTCTGAATAGCTAGATCGAGTAAAAAGCAGGTCCCTCTATGGAGAGCTGGACCGGCTTTTCACCAGCCCCCATCCCCCAAAACCAAACAGGGAACCGTCTGGACTTCCGCCCACCAGCCTTCCTTTCTCTTCCCGCCTCGGCCCCCATCCCGCGACGCAGGGGCTCAGGGCAGCCGCAGGACGCAATCCGTCTCCGGGTACGGGGGCAGGTTCAATGCGTATTTCTCCTGCAGCGCTGCAGGGACGAAGCGGCCTCCCAGGAAATGGTAGCGCCCGGCGAAGTGCTTGGCCGCCTGCTTGGGCGCCGTGAGAGAGACCAGCAGATCCGGCTGCAGCCCGTCCGGGTTTCCCTTCTCCACGTCCCACCCTGAAAAATGAAAAAGAGAGCAATGAAAGTGAAGGAAGAGCTTTGGAGACGGATGTCATTTCTCTACGGCCTTCTGCTCTACTCCCTAAAATACCAATGCTCTCTCCCCCCCCATCCACAGAATCAGAAGATGTTCCTTTAACCTACAAGGCCCATCATCCCCTGGGTTGGAAGATGCTGGGCATTCCACCCACGTGCCTTGTCTTCGGTGACATCTACCCAAGTAAATGTCAATTTGGCACAGCAATGCAGACGTTCCCAATTTGATGCAGAAAAGGAGGGGGGTGGCTGGCAACGCAGCAACGTTCGGTCTCCTCTGGAGCTCAGAATCTTGGCTAGCAGGATGGCATCGGCGAGGAGAGGTGAGAGGATCAAGTCCCTAAATCACACCTTTCCCTTGGCACCACCCTCTACCTCCGTCCCTTAAACCAAGTGCCCCGACCAAAGACGGTGCCCACACGTACCCGATGGGATATCGATGCTGGCGATGGGGATGGTGACTTTCTCCAGCGTGCTCAGGATCGAGCCGAAGGGCTCCCGCACTGCCCCTTGGAAGCTGAACCCAAAGATGGCGTCCACCACCAGGCCGTAGACCTCGTCAATCAGCGCCGCCTGCCGAGAAAGCAAGAGAGCGTTGAGGGCCAGGTGCCACCTGCAAACCGCAGCTGGCCTTCATAGCGTGGATCTTCTAGCTGCAGGTGGCCATCTTTGCCCGGAAAAGGGTCCTGGAGCCACCGAGCTGGCCGGGGCCCTCTGGATCATCCAGTCCAAACCCTTGTCAAGCCCTGGGCGGTGGGGGTGGGATTCGAACTCTCAGCCAGAGACCTTACTCGCTGAGCTATCCAGGAGTTAAATAAAATGCCTTAGCAGAAATCCTGAATAAGGAAATAGACTTTTGTACAACCAGAAGCAGCTTCAACAGCGAAAAGTGACCGTTCTCGATTACGACCCCTTTTTACAAAAGCCGCAAGTATTTCGTGGCAAGCAGAGAACGAGGTCTGAAGTCTGTCTCATCCACCGTTCCCGTAACAGCCTCGGCTCCTGCTTTCACAAACCGGCAAACTCCGCTCTTCAATTCCCGCCCCTGACGCGTCCACCTCTTTCGCTCCCTTGCATTTTTATTTTCTTAAGTTCGCCAAACGGACATGAGCTTCCGGAAAAGCCAAGCGGGCGGCCAACTTACTTCTGAAGGAAACTCTGATAAGAACGGGATGTCCATTTTCTCACACTGGGTGGTTAAACCTTCAAAGAGCGGCTTACTGGGGCGTTTCGGGTAATGCAGTGTCGGCTCATAACCCTGAAAAAAAAATAACAACAATAATAAATTTAAAATCAAATTATTAGACTTAAAATGCAGCTTTTCGGTTGGCCGAATGAAGTTATTACTCCAGTATAGCATCTGGAATTTTTCAGCATGAATCCTGCTACCTATATATATATCAGATTTCTCTAGTTTCTGGTTTCAACGGAACTTTTAAATAATTCTCTTCCACGGGGTTGGAAAGAAGACGTGCTATTAATCAAGGAGTCGATACAGGGTTTTAAGGCAGTTATATATCTGCGTAGCAAGGGTCACCCCTAAAAGCCTGAGGAAAAAGGGGGGGTTCTCCACTTTTTTTTTAACCCCGTCCTACTTTCAAACGGGAGTCTGAATGTTGCAGGGTTGGTGTTTCTAACCATTTCAGAAACTGTTTGGAAAACATTGTAAAAGATGTTTTCGACCGTATTTTGAACCAAGTTTCGCTTTCCCGACACCTGAAAAACCTTGCCTCTCAACAGGCCGAACTAAAAGTGACTCCCAAGAGCTTTCTGTGCGCACCAGAATGCCAGGTTTGGGCCAGAAGGAGCCCCGAAGGGGACACTGAGCTAGGCTTTGGCCCTCAATGACGCTTTCAACAGGATTCTGGCCGTAATCTTTTAATCCAACCACAGCAGGCTCACCGTCACCCTCAAAAGGGCGACATTTTGATGGGAGTAACATCTTTTATGTCTGTGAATTTCGTTGTATGTGTATATACTTACAATGACAATAAATTATTATTATTATTATTATTCAAAGCGTGGTTTCTGCACCACAAGCCACGGTCCTCATATTTCAATATTAAATCTCCTTTTCCCTAGAAAATTCTCCTCCCCCCTTAAAATAAAGCAAATGTACCCTATAATTGTGCTACCGACATGAATTTGACCCAACTCCGGGAGGCAGTGGAAAACAGGAGGGCCTTGCATGCTCTGGTCTGTGGGGTCACAAAGAGTCGGGCATGACTAAACAACAACCCTACATTTGCACTGTATGGAAACCAAGCAGCTCACTCACAAACATTTTTAGGTGCCGAGCACAGACGAGCCCGTCTCCTCCGTTGTTTCCGGGCCCACAAATGATCAAGACAGACGGCGGGCTGACGGTGAAGCTGCTGGGCGGGTAAGCCTTAGGGAGGAAGGAGAGGGAAACACGCGTTATTTCAAAGCGAAGAAGCAAAATCTAGGTGAGAGAAAGAAAGGTCGCTCAAGGACTGTGTGCAGGAAAACAAATTTAGAATTTTTATTTATTTATTTATTAGAATTCTATCCCGCCCTTTTAGACAAAGTCTACTCTGGGCGGGTTCCATTAAACATTGTAAACTAAAACAGTTAAAAACAATTCAAAACAATAATAGAAAGAAGATGTTTCTGGGATTTATGGCCCAGTAAAAATGCTTCTGAAAATTGGAAGAAAGGTATGATAAAACTCAGGAAAGGAAGATTTACTGGAAGCCAAGACTTCACAGCTCGGCTCTGTTATCAAAAGCTTCTATTTCTAGACCACTCTTCAGCCAGATGGGTGGTAGAGGAATTAAATGAATATATAAATTAAAATAGTTTCCTGAGCATTTCAGTATTGTGTACCCACTTTTTCACTTCCAGGCAACCCCTCACACCTCCCTGCCTGCCCTTTGCCATCATCAGCTCTGGAGGCAGCAGGGAAAGAGGAAGGCTCAATACGAGATGGACCGGCTCCCGTTTTGAAGGTGAGTCATTTATGGGGTCGCCAAAGATGACTGCACAGCATATTATAACAGCTCAACTAAGAGAAAAAATAAATATTTAAATTGAAAAAGAATACACCCCCCCCAAACCTCGTAAAATTATTTTGAATTTGCTGCTTGGTATGAACTTTAGAAAAATTTTATTTTGGTCTCTCTTGAGTTTGCCAACTTCGGCCACTGCTGGTCCAGCCCAACAAGGCTTTTGGACCATCGCCGCCCGCAGGAAAACACCCGCCTCTCTCGTAGCCTACCTTGGCGATGGCGGTGGCGCAGCTCAGCCCGGCCAGCTCCATCAGCTGGTCCACGCTGAACTTGTACTCCTCAAAGAGTTCTTGATCGATGGCCTGGGCCTCCTTCTGGCTGGTCAGGAGAGGAAAGAAGGGCTTAGCATGACAATTGGAAGGACCAGGATGGGTGGTTGGGAGGGGACCTGGGTTCGAATCACCAGCAGCAGCAGCCTCTGCCTTTCTCCTGAATCCACCCCACTCCACCCCCAGTGGCCTTGATCCAGTCGCCTTCCCTCCTCCTGGCCTGCCCTACTTCCTCGCAGGTTTCTGAGGACGTAAAGATATACATCAGGGGGCATTCCAAGGAAATCAATAATAATATGCAATATAGTACAGTACAGTATAGAGCCAAATATAAGATAAAAACACGCAACACGTTTAACCACAACATTAATATTATGTCTGTGTACACCCAAACACGCATACAGTATTAATATGGTTTACATATAAATAAACAATACAGAATACAAACATAAATGTGGCAGGTACTATATTCTTTGGGTAAATAAATGTATTAATTTATTATTTCTTTATTTAACTTCAAATAAAAATGAATTTATGCTCTAGTCTATACCACACAGCATTCCAAGGAAATCAATAATAATATGCAATAAGATAAAGAGTCAAATATAATGTACACACATGCAATACTTCTAACCTCAACCGTAATAATTACTGTATGTCTGTGTACACACAAACACGGGGGGGGGGGAAGGGAGAGCTCCTTAGTTCCGTGGCTGAGAGGCCGGTCTCTGCAGGGAGTCCGATCGCGCCCCCCCCCACTTCTCCGGGCCTCCCCGAGAGAGGCTGGACCCCACGGGCTCCTCCCCAAATGTACACACATGCAATACTTCTAACCTCAACCGTAATAATTACTGTATGTCTGTGTACACACAAACACGGGGGGGGGGGAAGGGAGAGCTCCTTAGTTCCGTGGCTGAGAGGCCGGTCTCTGCAGGGAGTCCGATCGCGCCCCCCCCCACTTCTCCGGGCCTCCCCGAGAGAGGCTGGACCCCACGGGCTCCTCCCCACTCTCCGATTACTAAACATTATGATTATTGTTGTTCAGTATGAAACCAGAGTGTGATGTTTGTTCACAGC